TACCCAGGGTCATTGAACCTCGTGTGGAATATGCCTTTCGCCCGGTGGATCCCGCTGTGGAAGCGAAGGACGTAGTAACTCGATCGTTACGCCTCCACATCATCGGGCCCCCGGCCATTACGGAAGATGAGCTTGCCAAAAATAAGCTCTTCGAGCTCGCTTCTTGGTTCCACAAGAATTTCCGCTGACAACTTATCGCACTCGTTTACGGGCTCAACGAGGTGGCTCTCGTGTACCTGCAATGCGGACGATACCTGTAGTGCTCGACTATTGCGAAAGCGCTACAGATGACGATGTGCTCTTTGAGCGATGGATGCAACGGCACTGAAACTTTCCTCACTGTATGTCTTACAGTTGAGCCACAAGAAAGTGGACATGTGTGTGGAGCGACACCTTCGATTTGAGTTTGCCAAACTCAAAGCACGCCGTCGACTTCCTTCGGATTGTCGCCCTGCAACGCATGGGTCAACCCCTAACGCCCCCGCGAGCTCTGTGTCTGTGACCGCAAGAGCTCAGGACCACCGCTTGAGCTCAGCTCATGACTCTTCTACTTTCCTGGCTATTGCCGAGAAGCGCGGGGCGTCCTGATATTTTTGATCAAAAGCGTCCACGGCGTCTGGGCATTCTTGCCGAAGTGGCGTCTCAAACTCCCACGAGTTTTCTGAGTCCGGATATCCCTTCACCAGATACAGAGTCTGATCTTAGTGACGACGTCGTCCCACTAGACGTTCCACGTCACCGTTCTCATCGAGAAGAGTCGGTGGCGGGCGGTGCTCTTCGAGCCCTTGAGGGTAAGATCCTTCGTGATCGGAGCTCCGCTGAGCGTCATGCTGAAGTAGCATATCACTATGCGGAGTCGTGCGCCGGCTGCCTCGCCTTGAGGACTACCGCGCTCTGTTGGAGCGACTCCTATCCGTGGAACAAGCGAATGCGGCGCTGCAGGCAACGGTGGGGCGCTTTGCTCCATTGAAGATGGAGGTTGTTGCACTCCGTGCTCAGAACCAGTTGCTAGTTCAGTTTCTGGGTTGCCGAAGGCCCGTGGGGTCCGCTCCGGCGCCAACACTTCCGCGTTCATAAGTGACGGATCTCGATACGACTTGGGCAAGCCCGCGTAAAACACTGGGTGGGTGCGCATCCGTTTGGGAAGGTTTGGCGTATACGCTAGGCCCCGCTTGACCACAACCTTAAATGGTCCAATAAACTGTGGACGAAGCTTCGTCCGGAAGAATGCCGAAGCTGCATGTGTAGGCAGGTATTCTAAAATTAAATAAAACCTGGTCTCCGACCTTGAAGCTTTTCACTTTGTCTTTTTCTTTTTCATCTGCACATGCAGGTCTTGGCTTTCAGCCATCGCGAACGTGTCGTAGGATACTCAGTCTGGTAGACAAGAAGTCATCGACTTCTTT